CAAACTTCTTTTACCTTCACTACCTCTTGAGGCTGCATATTTGATGGCGTGGATTTATGCTGTATTTTCTTTAATGACCCTTTGGGTCAAAATAGTCAGTATATGCCTTCTCCTAAGAAAACCAACAATATACCTGGACTGTTAAGTTCCAGGGGTTTCCTGAAACACTCTCCTACTGTTCACAAGTCCTCAGCTAGGACCTAAAGGACTATATTTCCCCGGGATTCTACTCTTATTCAATATGTGGGTAACTTTTTGCTGTGTTCTAGAGACGGAGTGAGCTCTAAGCCTGATTCCATTTGTCTACTTAAACTGTTTTAACTCATAAAGAGAATAAAGTTTCCTAAGTTACACTTCTGTATATAAGTTCATTACCAAGAATATATTTTATCTCAAGGAAGTAAATTTCAAAATCTCATAAATATCCTGAGTTTGCCTTTCCTTTTCTGAGGAAGTTTTAGCTGAGACTATTAACTTTATCATACTGGTATTTTCCCATACCATATGTGATATAAAAATTTATAAGAAATATATATTTTGTCATTCAGATAAAATATATTTCTGAGATATATTTGGTCTTCATCCTCAGGTCCTAAACGTATCTCAGAGCCTTAAGATGAAAAGAATATCTTATTATTTCTTATTATTAATGATGGTGACTTTTGGACCCCACCCAAGGGCAGGGGACTGATTTCCAGGAGGATCAACCGTGTGATTAGAGGGTTGGAACTTTCAGTCCCACCCCCCAACCTCTGGGAAGGGAGAGGGATTGCAGGTTGAATCAGCCAGTTGCCAATGACTTAGTCAGTCATGACAATGTAACACAGTCTCCATTAAAAACCCAAGAAGAACTTTTTGGCCCTTCTTTTAAGGAGAGCTTCCATGCTTGGAGAATCAGAATGCTTCCACATGCTGCTGAGCCAGGCCCCAAGCTCTAGAAGGGCAGAAGCTCCTTTGTTCCAGGCCCTGCCCTATGGTTTCTCTTCATCTGGCTGTTGATTTGTATCCTTTATCACAACTTTTAATAAACTGGTAAATGAAAGTGTTCCCTGAGTTCTGTAAGCCACCCTAGAAAATTAATAGAACCTAAGGAGGAGGTTACTGGAACTTCTAACCGGTAGCTGGTTGGTGAGAGGCAAAAGTAACAGCCTGGGGCTTGTGACTGGCATCTGAAGTGGACTATGGAAGGCAGTTTTGTAGGACTGAGTCCTTAACCTGTGGACTCTGATGCTATTTCTGAGTATATAGTATCAGAATTGAGTTGACTTCTTGGATATTCTGTTGGTGTCTGAGAATTACTTGGTGTTGTGTGTGGCGGGACACCCCCATCAAGTTTGAATTGGGGTGGGAACCCTAAAAGATCACAGAAAGAATAAACTCAGGTTTATTATCAACAGGTATTGATATCAATAGGTATCAACAGTTTTGATAATTTTTTGAGGAGCAAAAGGAAAGTTACCTCTTACTTAGAAAAACATTACCAAAGTTAACTCCTCCTTGGACAATTGTAGATGAATTCCAAGTTCTGAATTTTAGAAGTTAAGTGTATTCTTTTCTTTTTTTATTAACATATAATGTATTATTTGTTTCAGGGGCACAGGTCTATGATTCATCAGTCTCACACAATTCACAGCTCTCACCATAGCACACGCTCTCCCCAGTGTCCATCACCCAGCCACCCCATCCCTTCCACCCCCTTCTTTTCCTTTCTCTAGGATCTACTGATGTTTTGTTTTGACAGATTTCTATATATGCTAAAAAAGAAGTTGATTACAGGTATACTTTGTATTATTGCATTTCACTTTATAAAGCTTTGCAGATATTGTTTTTTTTTCTTTTTAACAAATTAAAAGCACCTCTGCCTCAAGTGAGTCTATTGGCACCATTTTTTCCAACAACATTTGCTCGCTTCATGTCTCTGTGTTATATTTTGGTAATTATTTCAAACTTTTTCATCATTATTTCATTTGTTATGGTGACCTGTGATCAGTGATTACAACTTGCTGAAAGCTCAGAGGATGGTTAGCAATTTAGCAATAAAGTACTTACTAGACTACAGTATAGTATAAATATAACTTTTGTATGCAATGGGAAACAAAAAATACATTTGATTCTCTTTATTGTGATATTAACTTTATTGTGGTAGTATGGGACCTAATCTACAATATCTCTGAAGTATGTTTGCGCAATTTTCTTTACCTAGGCTACATACTGGAAATGTTTTCCTTGAGAATAGGTAATTCAGTAAATAAACTAAAAAATGATTAAAGTATAAGGGACGGGACAGGCATACAAGAAGAATTAGTTATAGTTACCTTGCCTAGAGGGAATTCAGAGAACATGTCACAGAGAAGCTCACACTTGAACTGAGTCTTGAAGGATAACTAAGAATTTTCTAGCTCAACATCACTCATCATGACAGAAATACAAATCAAAACTACTATTGAGATATCACTTCACACCTGATGGAATGGCTAAAATGAACAACACAAGAAACAACAGGGAGGATATGGAGAAAGGGGAACCCTCTTTGACTGTTGGTGGGAATACAAACTGGTGGAGCCACTCCAGAAAAGAGCATGGAGGTTCCTCAAAAAGTTAAAAATAGAACCACCTTATGATCCAGCAATTACCTTACTAGGTATTTAATCAAAAGATACAAAAATACTGATTCAAAGGGACACATGCTCCACGATGTTTATAGCAACATTATCTATAATAGCCAAATTATGGAAAGAGCCTAAATAGCCATTGACTGATGAATGGATAAAGAAGATGTGGTGAACACACACAGACACACACACACACACACACACACACACACACACACACAGAGGAATATTATTCAGCCATCAAAAAGAATGAAATCTTGCCTTTGCAATGATATGGATGTAGCTAGAGTGTATTATGCTAAGTGAAACAAGTCAGTCAGAGAAAGACAATTATCATATGATCTCACACAGATGATCACAGGGGAAGGAGGGAGACAAACCATAAGAAATTCCTAAGTAGAGAAAGCAAACTGAAGGTTGATGGAGAGCAGTTTGGTGGGGGTACAGCTTAAATGAGTGATGGGTATTAAGGAGGGCACTTGTGATGAGCACTGGGTGTTATACATAAGTGATGAAGCACCAAATTCTTTTCCTGAAACCAATATTACCCCATATGGTAACTAACTAGAATTTAAATAAGAACTTGAAACAAATATGCAGACAAATAAAGACAGTATATGTATATATACGGGTATAAAATAGAGATGCATAGAACAAAAGGTCTGTGGCAACAAAGACCAAATTTATATTTAGTCTCTATATTTCTGTATTATTTGGCTCTTCTACAGGATTTGCTTATGCATCATTATAAGATAAAACATGTTTGAAAAGAAAAAAAAAAACAGTTTTCTAGGAAAACAAGGGGAATGGATAATTTATGCATAGGGGAAAGGGTCCAAAAGAATAGAGGCAGAACACAGCACTGACAGAATGAGGAACTGTTAATAGGATCTACAGGACTGCAACATTACTAGTTCATAGTAAAGGAAGAAACTAAGGGTGATTAAAGTGACTAAATAAGCAATAAAATATTGAAGTAAAGAAGTTCAGAGGTAGAACAGCTCATGGTGATAAAAGAATCCTGGGTGTGCCTAGGGGCACGTGTATGAGTTACTAAAGTGGTGTTGAGATGAAAGATCTTTTTTTTTTTTTTTTAAAGATTTTATTTATTTATTTGACAGAGAGAGATCACAAGTAGACAGAGAGGCAGGCAGAGAGAGAGAGAGAGAGAGAGAGAGAGAGAGAAGCAGGCTCCCCACTGAGCAGAGAGCCCGATGCGGGACTCGATCCCAGGACCCTGAGATCATGACCCGAGCCGAAGGCAGCGGCTTAACCCACTGAGCCACCCAGGCGCCCCGAGATGAAAGATCTTAAACTTATAGAGCGGTTATGATGTTAGATGGGCTCTCTACATGGATCTAAATGACTACATAGATCTAAATGATGAAATGACTATTTCATCATAAGAAAACATGATCAGGAAAATCTGGACAACTGTAATTTCCATCCGAAGTGGTTAAAAGTCTATACGCCAGTAAGAACACAACTGAAATGAAAGACCATTCTAATAACACAAAGATCCACGATAAAGGTGTAAGAGCATTCAAAGAAATCTGTTGTCAGTAAGAAATTATTTTTGTTCCTATCATCATAATCACTATCAATGATCCACTATCATCTCAGGGTCAAAAACAAATGGAAATCATACAGCAATCATCACAAAATGTCATTTCAAAATTTCACCCAAGGGTTTCAAGCTAACATAACAGATTCACAACACAGAAATAGGAAAAATTTACAGTAAAGAAAATAAAACACAAATTTTTATCTATTTGAAGTTTTCCAATAACTTTTGTGATTGTTAAGGAAAAGCTATTTATATTTCCTTTTTATAGGATAGAAAAATGAGTAATACACAAAGTTAGATGACTTCAAGTTAATGTTATCAGTGATCAAACAAAAAAAAATTAAGGTTTCTTTATCCTTAGTTCATGGAGCTATGTTCTAAAACATGCTGCTTAAGAAGGTAGGATCTTTTAAGAATTCATTTACAAAATGATTATGACTCCTCTCAGGAGTCACTTTTTTTTAAGTTAGATTCTTATAGTAGATTTATATAATTATTTTCAGTTAAGTCTATTTTCAAATAATTTTTGGCAGTGGGGCAGTTAAAGAGGGTTCTCACTGTAGAATCATTGAGGGACTCATTACTACCCTAATGAGAAGTGCTATCAAAATTCTGTTGTCAGTTTCCAGGAACAACTGGAATGAGGGAAATATTCACTAATATATTGATACTAATATCAAAGGAGGTGAAAGCCTTTTATATTCTTTATATAAACTGTCCCCAATTGCTCTTTGTTGTTTCACCAAAATATTTTAGCTCTTCTTCCTATTGAACTATACACTCTTAATTCAGTAGTCCATCTGAAATGTTGACATACTTACTGGCTCTGAGAATGTTCTCCTTGCTGCTGCACCTGGACTGGACCTGCAGAGAGAGCATAAACTCAGTAATTTAGGGCTCAGAACACAGATAGCCAGATATGTATGCATACTTAATGGGCAAGCTCCTGAGGTTTAGAAGCAAAGGCTTAATATATCTCAGATATCATAACAACTTAGTAAAAATATATTACATTTGTTCCATATTTTTAAAAAATTTTTTTCTTACTGTAAAGGAAGAGCAGACTTCTAGAAAAAAATTGGGGTACAACATTAAAAATGGGACAGAAGCAAAACCAAAGGCAACTTTTTACTGATGTGCATCGAAATTAGTATATGGAAAAAATAAGTTACCACATATTCAGCTATGAATACAGACCCTTAATCTTAAGGCACTATGATAGCTCTTGACTAGACTAATAATGCAGCTCAAATAATAAAGTTATAATAAAATACCCATTGTAGTGATTTTTAATTATATATGTTGATAAGGGGAAAACAGAGAAATCCTCATATACAATATTTATGTGATTCCAATGACCTTTGTTATTTACTAATTAAAATAATAACAAATTAAAATGTAACCAATTAAAATAATTGGTTATTAAAATAATTGGTTATAAATAAAATATGGGCTATGAAAGATGACTTTGTTGGAAAATAAAATTGAGTTCATTTATTTACCAGTTCTCAGGTGTTTATATAGAGTTTATCAATCAGAAACCCTTATGCTTTGTTTATAGTTTAGGTCAAAGCAGAACATTCTTTTAAATGTTATAAGTGTTGAATTCAAGAGCCATGTTGTATGGCACTAACATTTGTTAATATCAGAGAAAATTGTACTTAAACTGCACACCTCTTCTTCCCACTCCACAGCAGCTTGCCCCAAATGGATATATATACACAACAAATTAATTTCTATTGCTTAACACAAGCTACTATTGTAATGAAACAACTTATGAAAGGAATGTTGCAACTTAGGGTGGGTTATGGTTGTCCTTCCCTGAAAAGAACAATTGTTAATGTTTAAAGAAACAAAAACAATAAAAAAATCACACAAACATACACACAAGAAACACACACACACACACACACACACACACCAAAAAAAAAAAAGGGAAAAAAGGGGAAAAATAATTCCAGATGTTATAGTTATTCTCTTTTGGCCCAGATTATTTAGTTTTAAATATACTAGAATGAAGAAGCTAATCTGAAAGATAATATTATATTCTTTCACTCAGAAGTTTTATTGAAAAACAATTCTGGGCCAAATGAGAAAGGAAATTAATGATTATTTGAAACAAAAATACAGGGAGGAAGACACGAGAGTGAGAAAAAGAAAAAGAAGAAAGAGAAGTTTGGGGAAGTAAGTCTAGACAATAGAAAAGAAAGTTTGGGCTTATAGAAGGGGACACTATGAATATACAAAATGTTCTGCTATTTCTTATTGAAAATTCATACTAAGAGGGTAAGGATCACTAATGAACTTGCTGCAAAATAAACAAGCAAGTTTTCATACCATGGAATGAAAATAGGTGTAACTAGACCACTACAGCCTTAAAGGAGAAAAGAAACAAACACTCATAGACAAATTAATAGACAAGCTTAATAAAGAGATAAACTACATTTTAAAAAGCAGTATAAGGAACACAAGAGAAAGCTAATAGAATAAGAAAAATCTGGGAGAGAGAAGGAAAAAAAAGGGGAAAATGCTGAAAGACAAAAACAGAGTTCAAAGAAGTCAAATGAAGTCAAGAAAGTCTTCAACAAGATGTAGAAACAGAAGGAGCCCAAACCCATAGCGCAAAGCAATGTTTGCGAATGGAAAGCAGCTCCTTTGATCAGTAATAGTTACTCTTAAGTCGTAGCCTCTATTCCTCCAGAGTTCATCTTTAAGCCCTTCCAATCTAGAGTGGAGCTAGTGTGTGGATAGAAACAAGAGATTTATAATGAACAGAGCAGTTCAGATGAGTAGTTCAAATTGTCTCATCAAATGTTTCAACAGATTTATATCACAACTAAATGGAAATGGTGGTGAAAAACTAGCTAGCATTACCAAAAAAAAAGTCAAACCAAACCAAAACAGCAATTTAAAAAACCCTGTCTTAGGTGGCTTAAAAATTAAAAAAAAAAAAAAAAAAAAATTGGTTCATAGCATGAATTCAATAATCAAACCCAAAATCTTGCTTTGTGGTACCTGAGTTTAGAATTATATATTTCATGGTTTTGGAAGATAAATTTGAATGATAAAAAACAATTCAGTTTCCTGAACAAATTGCCAATAGCAGTATAACCAGTATTTTCTCATTTATATTACATTGGCTATTTGTTCCAGATTTGAGGGAAATCACTTAAATGATTTCATGAACTTCTTTACTTTAGTGACCTTGAGTATATATTAAAAAAACTGAGGAAAATAATTTTAAAATATAATATGCACTTTATAAATATAATATGCATTTAAAATATATATGCACAAGCAGATCCCCTCTCTCATGTACCATGAAACTGGTCTCTATAATATTTACCTAATTTTACAAAATCCCGATATGAAGATTTTACCTAACTCACAATGTAATGGGATTTACTTGAAAGAATAAAGTCAAGAAACAATTACTGTTCTTGTTCTCACACATGGGGACTAGAAAGAAGGTAACAGAGGTCTGTCCCAAGTTTTACAGTTTACTGTTTTTTGTTTTTTTTTTAATCTAACCCTGGCTTTTTAGTCAATGAAAAAAAAAAAAAAAACAAAGGGAAGTCTGAAAAACGAAATGAAACTGAGATTTTGGCCTAATACCAAATTTGTTTAAAATTAAAATTAAAATTAAAATGATTAAAAATGAAAGATATGGTACTGGATTATCTATTACTTTATTTTATTGGATTATGTTATTTTACTATAGTTAACATCTAACTTTATGGTGTTAACAATACCCCTTTCAGCTGGAATTAAACTAAAATCATGTGTAGAAACAGCATTATTATATTACAGTCAATGGAGGAAATGAAAAACACAAGAGACTTACTGAAGACATAGATATTCATTTACTAATCAAGACTGCTTTCAGACATCAAATAATTCATTTAATTCATTTCAACATGTGTTTACATGTGTAATATAATTTTTGCTGAGGATCACATTGTCCGGTAAGAAATCTTAAGCCATGAAACAGAAAACAAAAGAGGGGAGAGCATGTAATAAATGGTAAGGAAAAAAGTGAAAATGCTTTAAACAAAGCTGAGAAAATTTTAACAAACAACCACAATCTTTAGATACAGTTAGAGAAGTGACTTACCTTATGCTTAGGTCATAACAAGAATAGCACAGTGTTTAAAGTCAGCTCTTCATTATGGGAGGTACAATTGAAAGCCATAGGTTATAATAACATGAACTGCTACACAGAAATGAAGACTTTTTCAGCCCAACATGAAAAGCTAACTCTTACGGGAGAACATTTCTACTGATGTTTAATGCAGCATGAAGAACAACTGAGGGTGTAAACATCAAAACACATGAATCTCACACCAGTAAGAGAGACAGTCCAATCTCTCAGGAACACAGAAGATTTAATCTGTGACTATAATCTGTGACACATAAGGGAAGGCACATCACTCTAACACTGAAAGATGCATGCATAATGTATAACCATCCACTGACAACTCTCCCCACCCCCTCCCACTTGTACACACACAAATCCATTAAGATACAGGGAAAAAATGTAGTGCCAAGCTGTTATGAAGAAAGCAGGACACACGGAAGCACAGCAGTGGTCATGTGATTTGAGAGGTGTTCTTCCCTTAAACCATCCCATCACCATGCTTATTTTAAAGAAGCCAGGAAAAGACCCCCTTCAATGCTGCAGTAGCTACGAGCCCCCAGCTTGAAGCTAATGTGTGGAATTTTGATCACCGTTCCCTGCGATGTCAGGGGCTCTCCAGTGGAAGCCAGATGTATAACACCAGTTAGTGGGGTACAAAGTGTGAATAACAAACATCCTTTCCCTTCTGCCTTTTGCAGAAGTGAGGGAAGAGAGAAACAAATAAAATAAAGCCCATGTTAAGAATAGGTTCATAACAATATAAAGATGTATAAATATTAAAATGGAGATTACATTTAATTACAGGTTAACACAACTCAGGTTTCATAAAAACTGCCTCTATTTTGCTGCTCACCAGGATAATTTGTATTATTTCTCCTTGCAAATATTAGGAATAAATCTATACAATATGGTTCATACTGAATAATTCTCAGCAGTTGGGTCAGATAGGGTCAAACAGGAACAAAGGAAGTCATCTTTGATGGACATTAAGAAAGCCCTCTCCTATTTTTAGCACGATGGTACTGGTCAGCAGTCACATTAGAAATTAAGCTTCTGTATATATGCTTACTAATTTGAGAAATTCTATGGCAATGGTTTGGAAAGGAAATTTAATCTTAATGCTACATTTAAAAAAAGAAACAACAAAGAAGACTACCTATTTAGAAATTGTTACTAAGTTTCCTATATACTCTTCTCTACTGTCAATAAAACTTATTTTAACATGAGCTGTTCCAGCTCATTAGAAAAAAATTTCAAATTTGCTTTCCTATTATTCATGATGGTAGTTGACTTCATCTATTTTATCTTTTGGTTTATGTGTGGCATGCAATTTAGCTAGATTTTTAATTTTTTAAAGATTTTTATATTACGATTTTCTCTCCCTCATCCTATTCTTAGTAGGCCAGAATATCTTGACATTTCCTTTAGCATATCTTTATTATTCTAGGCTCTAGGTGCTCCTTTAATCTCAGTTCCTCATGGGAAAAATAAAGATTGTTAAAGGGCTCGAGGGAGAAAAGACATGTATCAGAGATTTTAAGCTATAAAGGTAGAAAGAAATGTCAGTTGTGATCATGCTATGATCAGTGGAGGCACTGACAATTGTAAAATAACTGTAATCACACACTCTCATTGTGACTTCATTACTTCATTGTAACTTCCACATTAGCTCAGAATGTAAGCAAATTCTTCTTTTTGACCCAAAGAAAGAAAGAAAATCCATGTA